CCTGGGATGGGGCCTGGGATGGGGGCCTGGGATGGGGCCTGGGATGGGCCTGGGATGGGGCCTGGGATGGGGGCCTGGGATGGGGACTGGGATGGGGTACTGGGTTGGGATTCTGGGATGGGGCAGAGAGGATTGTCATTTCCAAAGAAGGAAGATCCTTCTAGAAAACACCCCCAATGAAAAATTGTGCTTGGCACAGAAATCCTGAGTTGTACATTCCACCTTCCAAGGATGCCTGAAATGCCCGGACTGTTCAGAAAAGAGGAACCAGAACAGATGTGGCCCTGGGTATTTGCTGGGTTTCATAACTACAGGGCTTCTCCCTTTCCTGTGGTCCTGTGAGTGGTAATCACCCCCAGTTGGACACAAACTGGGTTCTCCAGCGTGCAAGCAAAGGGCCTGAAGAGGAGCCCGTGGTGCAAGGAGCTCAGATGAGCTTTCCGGGTCTCACTTTCATCCCACTCGGTTATGCCTTGGATTGAAAACCCAAGGGCTAGCTCAATGCCTGCAGCTGCTTCCAAGAACACTCCTAGAAATCCTAGCAGGAGGGGATTCCTGGTAACCCCGCCCTCGCAGCCCAAAGCCTCAGAGACAAAGGCCAGGCTCAGCGTGAAACCCACAAATGTTGGACCTTGTACCTAAAGAGTGGTTACTGAGGCAAACCAGACCCAGGGTTCTGTCCCTTTGTGTCTTCTGGAAAGTCATTTTCCAGAATCCTTGCTCTTAGCCGGGCACGGGGAGGTGGATGGGATGGTGAGGTGCCCTGAGGTTCCCCCAAGAATTGCTCTTGTTGGAGCTAGGGGTGGTGGACACAACTCCCATGTCCAGTTTTGCCTGGGGTGGAGGGGGGGGGTGTCTCCTGAGTGGTCTCCTGACTTTGTCTTCTCTAGAGAAAAAGGTAAGGGCCGGTGCCAGAGGCTCACATCTGTCATCCTAGCTTCTCATGGGGGCTGAGATTTGAGGATCGCGGTTTAAAACCAACCCATGCAGCAAAGTCCGTGAGACTCTTATCTCCAATGAACCACCAGAAAACCTCAAGTGGCGCTGTGGCTCAAGCGTTAGAGCGCTGGCCTTGAGCTGAAGAGCTGAGGGACAGCGCCCAGACCCGGAGTTCAAGCTCCACGACCACAAAAAAAAAAAAAAAAAAAAAGGTACAGGCCGGGAATGTAGCTCAACAGTGCTGCATGACTTAGTATCCTCAATGCCTTGAGTTCAGTCTGATGCCACAAAATAAACAAATGAATAACTAAAAGAATAAAAATGAACTGAAAGCTCAAAACTGCACCATCAGCTTCTCCCTCCCAGGAATCCCCGTGGTACAAAGTCCATGGGGGTGGGGGGGAGGAGAGGGGGAGAGGGAGATGGGGGGAGGGGGGAGGGAGAATGTGCCTGGGCTCTGCTGTGTGGAAACCCGTGTCATGGCTTTTCCAGACATGTGACATTGGAAGACACGGGGTGCTTGAGGACCCCCTGGGATTCTCAAAGCAGGTTATCCTCATTGAGACAGACAGGGTCCACCATGTGAACACGTGACCCCAGCCATCATGCAGGGCTCCATTCAGCTGAGAGGGGCCCCATACCAGGTATGACAGGGAGGAACAGGACTTACTCCGCCCTGGGCCGTGCAGATTACAGTTCTGACCCGATGATCTCAGCGTCACCTGCCTTATCTGACAGGAAGTGGGCTGGGGGAGTCCCAAGAATAATGAGCACTCACAGTCTTGCTGCATTGGCCCAGGTCACACGGCCTAGTTCATTGGAGGGCTCTCGCTGGAGGCAAGGGTGAAGGGAGGACGTTTTCAGGATGGAAGGGATGGGGAAGGCATCCACAGTGGACATGCTGTGACCCGCTGGGGTTTCTCCAACCCAGAGCGCAGAGCATGGTAGACAGACAGGTCAGGGGTGCTAGAGAGGAAACCTACACACTTGAGTCCCCAATTTTCAAGCCAAGAAGGAAGCGAGGTGTGCATCTCTCCAGCCCCTCACGATGGACCCGACCTGAGCCTGGCTCTGCTCTGAGAAGCCCACTGACTGCTAATACTTGACAGGTTATTAACATGATGCTTGAAGGGCTGACTTTTCCAGAAGGTTCTGAGTATGTGCCGTCTGGTGGCAGCCACTCAGCCAACACAAACTCTGATGCCGGGCCTGCTGCTGATGGAGGGCATTTGGCGCGGGTTCTGTGGAGAGCCCACAGAAGTGGGAAGGAGCCGGCCGCAAGCACCGCAGTGGAGGGACACACTCAGAGAACCTGTTGGACGCTCACTGGAAGTTGAGTTTATCCCCAGGGTTGTCTTAAAGTAGACACACCTGCCCTGCAGCCCCAGGACTCCAGTAAACCTGAAAGGTGTGTTCCTTCTTGACACCTCTGTGGGTACCGTGAGGTCATCTTGGGAGGGTGACTCATCAGGACCTGCAGGGGAGGAGGCTTGGGGCGGGGCTGGGAGGCCCCACTGGCAGCTGTTCTATGGACCACACAGCTTGGGGCAGAGCCAGGCTGGCATTTGGAAGGCAGGCATCTTCCTGTGCATGAGAGCAGTTCATGCGGTCATTAAGGTGGCTGAGTCATTCCTGTTCCCTGCACATACTGAAGAGTTGAGGGCTGAATCGTTCACCATAGCTAAGATATGGAACCAACCCAGATGCCCCTCAGTAGATGAACGGATCAAGAAAATGTGGTATATATACACAATGGAATTCTATGCCTCCATCAGAAAGAATGACACCGCTCCATTTGTTAGGAAATGGAAAGACTTGGGAAAAAATCATATTAAGTGAAGTAAGCCAGGCCCAAAGAAACATAGGTCCTATGTTTTTCCTTATTTGCAATAATTAGTATATGTCTAGGATAATCTTAGCAGATGAGCAGAATAGCTCAATAGCTACATACATATGACCATATAAGATGATGTTAAGCGAAATGAACTCCAAGACGTGGTCACAAGAAGAGATTTTTCTTTGTTGTCGTTGTTTCTAATGTATTATGTGATTTCTTGTTTCTTTTGTGTGTTCTTCCCCCTATGGTATATCCCCTGTTGTCACTGATTTGATTGTGGTGCCCTGGTATTGTATATATGTTTATCTGAATTAGGGAAGGGGAACAACAAAATGGTGAAACACAGTACTCACAAGACAGTATGTTGGAAACGATCTGTACAACTTGGAGGGGGGATATGGAGGCGGGAAAGTAGGAGAAAAATGAGGGAGAGGGTAACAGTTTGACAAGAAATGTACTTACTGCCTTACTTATGTAACTATAACACCTTTGTACAATTAAAAAGAGTCGAGGACTGAGCCAAGGACACTGGGGAGGAGGGGGGAGGGCTCTACAGTCCTTTGATCCTTGACACACCTTTGTGTGTGATGCCGGGTGGAAGGGAGGTAGATGCCAATGGCCACCATTTTACAAGTGGGAAGACCAAATTTCCAGAGAGGTCAAGAGATCTAAACTTAGCATGAAGATCCTGGGTAGAGATTTGAATCTAGTCTGTTTTTTTTAAAAAAATAATATTCCATAAAGTTTGCTGGCAAGCACATGACCCAAGGCCACAGACACAAAAGCCTATTCATTTCTAAAAATAATTTGATTTTCCCCTGGTCCTTCTAAAGAACAACACGCACATTTTGTAGCCAGGCCAGGGCCAGCC